TTGCAGGTGCCCACCTCCCCCCTCCCCCTGGAGGGCTCAGCTCTTCCCCCCCCCCACACCCCCCCCACCCCCCCTCCCGAAGCTCCTACCACACCAGCCGTGGTGGGAGGGATGTAGGGATGCGGCAGCATTTCCTGGGGTCTGTCACCTGTATCCCCCACATTTCCTGGAGGGATTTCCCCAGCCACGGGATTTCCCAGCAAACAAAGGTGGTAAAAGCCAGAGCTGGCAGAGGCTCAGGACAGTGCCCTGGGAGAGGGGGCAGGCAGAGATGGAGGCTTGTGGACTGTCCCCAGCGGCTCTGCTCCTCACCACACTCTGAAGCCAAGCCCAGAGCCAGAGCTGTGATTGCCAGTGAGGAGACGGCACGAAACGGTGGAATTAAGGGAGGAAAGGGGGTTTTTTTCAGCCCAGACCACATGTGGGACTGGGAAACCTATGGGGCCACCCCAAAGCAGAGACTGGATCCACTCATCACAGCAGTGGATCTGCCCACGTCCCATGCCCTTTTCTGCACCAACCATGGGAGGGCTGATCAACTGGAGTGGGGGGGGGAAGACCAGTTTCTCCTAAATTCATCAAGAGCCACCAAAGCACCTGGTTTTGCCTCTGGCCCCTCTGAGCCCCCATGGACATCCCCTGCTCCAGTGCCAGGTCTGTGCAAAAACCAGCACACCCTGGCTGATGTGGGGAGGGAAACGGGGGATATTTCTCCCGAGACAAAGGCGGGACCCAGGAGTGCTCAGGGGCCCAACCAGGGGCTGAAAATCCCCCATGGTCCAAGATTCCTCCTTTGCAGGGTCCACTCACCCCCTGGGGCAGACACCAGTGCATCAGGACAGAGGGATGCTGCAGGTGCCAGGAACGTCATCTCCGGAATTCCCCAGGCTGATGTATCCATGTTTGGCATGCCAGTCTTTAAAAAGTGCCTTTCCCAGAACTCTCTTTTCTTTTCCTTGTTCTTCTGTTTCATTTTCGTATTGCAGGGACTATTTTCTACCCTTAGGAGGCCACTTTTACCTCATCTGGGCCAGAAGGTCCTCAGTGCGTGGGGGTAAGAAGGGGGATAAAGGGAAAGGGTGGATTCAGGACGGGAAAGCCGAGCCAGGCAGCTGAGCCAGACCAGGACCAGAGGCATCCGCTTCCCTCCGCTCCCCCAGGAGAGATTAAATGGGAGTTGGGGTGATGAGGGGAAGGCGCCCTGCTCCATCAGCCGGGCACAGAAACACAAGCCCCCTCCTTGTCCGCACCCACCAGCCCTGGAGCATCATCCAGCCCCACTTGCTGCCCGCTCCTATTATTTATTCCACTTGTGCACTCCAAAAAAAATTGAGGCTGGTTTCCGGGAAATGGCTTTGGAGAAACGCAAATGGAGAGACACACATGGTCCCACCGTGGAGATGGCCCCTCCTCCCATCAGGACAGGTCCTTGCCGGGACCAGCACACCATGTTCTTCTCCCCAGCTAGGTCTCCCTCCATGGTGGGGCTGCACCAGGGTGGCCAAAATGCCAGCAGGGTGCCGTCAGCGTCCCCTGCACGGTGGGACGTGGCTGCCCACACAGCTGGGCTGGCGGGGATGTACGTCTGCATCTCCCTGCTGCTTCCCACCGCCCGCCAGCTGCCGGCAGCTGGGATGTGCCTTGGGATTTGTTGAGACGGGGGGGGGAGAGGGGGCTTTTTGGACAGCTGCAGCCAGGCAAAATCCACTGGGGAAGCCTCAAACTGGCCCCTGCCTTTCCCAGCACAGCACAGCCAAAAACACGAGCTGCTGCTTTGGTGCCGGGGGGAGGGAAGTGGAGCCCCGTGTCCAGCCTTTTCTGCACCCCAACTGGGACTAAACACCCCCAAAACCAGCGCCGAGCTGTGTATGTGCCTGGCACAAACAAACAGAAGCTGTTTCTCCACGGCTTTTGTGAGGAGGAGGGGATTATTTGGCCATTTGTCCCCTGGGGCGGGATGCAAAGCAATAGGATGCAAAACTTTGTGATGCAGGGGGAGGACGTTGACCACCAGGAACATGTGGGGCTGCTGGGGACCCTGCAGGGTGCTGAGCCTGGCCCTGGTCCCATCCGAGGGAGATCCCCAGACCCTCTCGCCTGCCACAGGGTTCCTGCTGTGGGGCACACAGCCAGCCCAGGGGATGGAGATGCAAGCCAAGCTTTGGGAGCAACCCTGCCACTGGAGGTAGGAGGTCAAGAAAAATCTCAAGCCTATCACAGGGAGGGCAAAAGCACAGCCCAGGAGCAGGTTTTTTCCCCTTCCCGGAATTGTGCTGGGAGGGGATGAGTGTTGCTCACTCTCTGTGCTCTGGGACATGGCAGGGGACCAGGTCCTCCCCCTGACCACGCAACTGCTGGCCCTGGGGGAAGCCAGCCCCGCTGCTCCCCCATAAAAGCAGCCCGGTGGCCGTGACCCCAGCAGACGGCGGCTCTGCCCGGCGCTACCGAGGGGCCCTCCTGCAGTCCGTCATGGCGAAGGCAGCCGGGGTAGTTTGCACCCTCCTCCTCCTCCTCCTCGCTGTGCTGTGCTGCCAGAGCCTGGCTCAGAGTAAGTACTGCCCCCAGCTCTGTTCCCATGGGCTGGGGGACAGGGACAGCCCCCAGGGCTGTGGGGACAGGTTCGCTTTGTGCATGGCATGCAGGGGGGCTCCCCCCCGAGAGCTGCTGTTAGGGTGGGCTGAGGTGGAAAGCGAGTGTCTCCAGGCTAAGCTGAGCTCACGCTGTCCCCAGGAGCCCCGGCCATGCCGGACAAGTGCTGTTTCAACTTCCAGATGAGAAGGATCAAGAGAGACAACATCGTCGCCTGTTACCCCACCAGCCCTGAGTGCCCGCACCAGGCTGTGATGTGAGTACCCTAAACCCGGTCCTGGGGGTGAAGCACCTCTAGACCCTGCCAGACCCCACGTCTTGCTTTGATGGGTCCAATCCTGGTCCTCTGTACCTCTGAGCCCCTCAGAAACTCAGCGCCGGGGTCCCCATACCACCACCCCGCTAACCCAGTCTTTTCTCTGCCCCAGCTTTAGGGTGAAGAGCGGGAAGGAGATCTGCGCCCAGAAGAGCAGGCCCTGGGTGAAGAGGTACCAGAAGAGCTTCCAAGTCAGCTCCTTCTCCATCCCCAGCTAGAAAGGCAGCCAGAGGCAGTGTGTCCCCTCCACAGGGGACGGGATACCACGAAGGTGACCCCCTTGGCAGCGGCAGCCACGGGAGCACCACATTTGGATAGAGCAGCTCATCGGTGACATCTTCCCCACCACGCTGTGATGACCCTCACCACCTCCCTGAAGGCAAAGGGCCTCGGCCGTCCCCGGCACCCCACTGGGATGGGGTGTGCCAACCCCATGGGGTGCTGGGGTCCAGCCCCACTGCCAGCCCCCCAGGCTCTCAGCCCCACTCTGCCTGTACCCTTCGCAGGCAGCAGCAGCGTGGGGGTGAGGCTGCGCTCGCCGGACCAGCTGCAGCAGAAGGGTTAAGGGGGGAGCAGCTCCACGGTTATTATTATTTTTTTGTACAACACACTGAATAGAATTAAAGGTAATCTCCTGCATGCAAACATCTGGCTGTGCAAGTGTCTTGGGAGCAGGCAGACCCTGCTGCTGGCTCTCCTACCTGGGTGTTAAATCACATCTCTAAGTGCTGGGGTCAGTAAGCAGCTGGGGAGAGCTGAAGCCCCAAGCACGTCCCTGTGAGGGAGTCCAGGGGGTGCATGGGGCCAAACCATGTCCGTGTACATTTTGGGAAAGCTACCAGAGAGGCAAGAAGCAGGCACAGCCCATGAGGAGGGGGCTTCCCACGCTCCTCATCAGCCAGATCCCTGGCCCAAATTTGACCAGAGCCGCCCCTCGGGGATACCAGGTCGGGCCCCACTGACAGCCCACATTCCTGGGATGCCATAAGGAGATGTGATGGGCACTGCCACAGTGACGGACGCTGTGATGGGCAGCCAGCGACGGGTCTCAGGGTGGGCTGGGATGAGCCCAGCCACTGCTGAGCTGCTCACCCCGGTGCAAAATTGCAAGAGAAGCATCACAGCCAAGCTGACAATGGTTGGTTTTTTTGTAAATAAACTTGCTGAGGGCTTCAGGAAGGCCAAGCATCATCCTGTGTGGTTTGCTGGTGGCAACAGCCAAACCCAAAATAGACTGCCAGCCCTGGTGCATCACCAGCGATGCAGAGCTGTCGGCTGCTCACCACACTTTCCAGCAGCCCTTGGGTACCACAGGGGCCAGAGGGGCTGGGAGAAGGAATTTCCATTCACTGGTTGCCCTTTATCAGTATCTCTGGGTGGTTTTTCCCCTGGGGAGAGTCCAGAACTGTCACGGAAAGCCTGGCGGGCGTGGGTATATCATGATGAGGTGCCAGCAGGAGAAGCAGGTAGTTCTCAGTGACCCCAAGTCAGTAAGAGCTGCCATCTGCTGTGCTGACCAAGCTCCAGGTTGGACATGAAGGTCTTCTCCTTGGCCCTGATCACTCTGCTGCTGGCTGCAATCTGGACTGAAAGCCAGGGTGTCTCCTGTGAGTATTGACATGGAGCCTTACCCCATACCTGCCCTAGCTTCATACCCAGCTCTTCCACTGATGGGCTTTGGAGGGGTCAGGGAGAGGGGTGAGAGCTTCAGCTCCTGCTTGTGTCATGGGTTTGGGGCGATGAGGGGCTTTGCCAGCTGCCCAAGCATGGGGCTGTCCTGGTTTTGTTCAAAAGGAGCAAAAATAGGCTCGGGGATGGCTTCAGACTCAGCACCCCAGCTGGGGAGCGCAGTAACAACCTCCCCCCCAGCAGGGAAATGGGGGGCTCCCACCCTGGGGCAAAGCAGCACTGCTGGGGATGCGAGAGGGGACCCCTTGTAGCAGGAGGGAGCAGAAGAGTCCCCAGGGGAGCACCCACACCCCGCGGGGCAGCATCCACACCCCTTACACCAGACGTGGGAAAGCACCAACCCTTCTCACCTCCTCTCAGTCCGCAGCCCCTACGGCAAATGCTGCTACAAGGATATGTTCTTCAAGGATAAAATCCCTTCCTCTCTCATCAAGAGCTACCAGAATACACCTCCCCACTGTTCCCGCAGAGCTGTGCGGTGAGTACCCCCTTCCCCCACCCAGCCTTCCTCCCTGGCATCCTGCTCCTCACCCTCACCTACTCACCTTCCCTGCCAGTGGTTCTGCCTTTTAGGCTAACCTAAAACAAGCCACCTGCCCTGCCCTGGCTCTTTGCATGCACACATACACACTCTCCCCTGGAAGCTTTATCCCAAATAGCCCCCAAATCCCCCCATTTCAACTGCCACCCAGAAAAATGGGAAGGAAACCAAGGTTTCAGAGATTGCTAAAAGTCAGCACTTTAAGGGGATGCAGGGGGGCAGGATGCTGCAGGCATTCCCAGGCTGGTGGGGGAAATCCAAGGTAGAGCCAGATCTTGCATTCCTCCCCCCCCAATAACACAGCTTCTCTCTGCCCTGCAGTGTGGAGCTGCTCCAGGGAAAGAAGGGCTGCGTGGACCCAAAGGAGCCTTGGTTCCAGAAGTATCTGCAGAAGAAAAAGTCAAACAGCGCCTCCACGTGAAGCTGCCTTTCATTTAAACTCTATTTATTTGCATCTTGTAATTATCTGCACGTTGGGATCTTGTCCCCTCCCCTGCCATCGCCCCCTCCACACTTCTGTATGTCCCTCCGTGGGTTTAATAAAAGACCTCATGCTGACCTGCAGCTGGAGTGAGAGGATGGAAAGTTGCTGGGAGAAAGCAGGGCTCACACCAGGGCTGGGCATCCCCGTGGGGGACCCAGGAATAGTCCGGCAGCACCTGGGAGGGCAAAGGGCCAAGCTTGGTGCCCCCACCTCCCCCCCAAGATGAAGCAGCCCCTGCGCGGGTGTGAGGTTTAAGGGTGCCCTGGGCAGATGCCCCCCGACCCCACGTGGGATATGGATGGAGATCGGGATAACGGCAGGTGCAGGCTGGCAATGGGAGAAAGGTTGGCTTTGGGGGCTTGGCTTGGTGTCTTCCCAGATAGATCAAGGGCTTATCCAGGGATGGCTACAAAAGGAGAGGGACCCGGAGACTTAGCACTGTCCTTCAGCCCCTGCCAGACCCCAGAGATGGGCAACCATGGGGATGAATGTGTGGGGAGAGCTCCAGGTCCCTGGAAACCGCATCATCTCGAGGAGAAAATCCACCCGCAGCGCCGGGAGGGGCAGGGTCAGTGTCATGGAAGTTTGGGCTGCGTCTGATCCCCACCGGGCACGCGAATGGAATCTGAAAGTGGCAGCCGCGTGGCTGCACTTCCCCTTCTGCGGTTTCCTTGCCTGCTCCAGCTCAGCAAATCTGGGCGATCCTGACATAATTTCCCCAGTATGATGCTCTCATTTTCTTTCCTTGAAACCCCGCGCCCGCCCAGTGGCCGGGGATAAAAGGAGGGCACGGCCAGAGGGGCCGAGCATGGTGCAGAGGAGAGCCCTGCAGCCCCCACAGCTCCAGCTCCGCTTGCGCATCCCAGGCCCCCGCAGCAGCATGAAGGTCCTCGCAGCCACCCTGGTCACTGTCCTCCTCGTGGCCACCTGCTCCCCGTCCCAGGCTCATCTTGGTGAGTCCGGCACCGCTGTGTCCCCCCGGGGCTGGGTGTGACATCCAGAGAGTCCCATCCCCATCACCAGGGAGCCTGGGGCTGTGGGGAGGGCTGGCAGCAGGAGACACCCCCAGTGCTGGGACTCGGGCTTGGGTCTCAGGCCAGTCTTTGGGGGCCACCAGCATGGAATATGACCCAAGGCTGGGGATGGGAGATGGCAAAGCCCTGGGCAAGCCCAGATGCCAGTGGGGTCAGAGCCCGTGCTGTGTCTCAACGGGGCTCTCTGTCTATCTCTCTGCCCTCACAGATGGTGTCCCGACTGCGTGCTGCATCAAGTACCAGAAAAGACCAGTCCCACGGGCCCTCATCACCTCTGCCTACATCACCAGCAGCAGCTGCAGCCAGCCGGGAGTGATGTGAGTGCCCGGGGTGGGATGGTTGGGGGAGGGCCTTGAGGGTGGCTGGGAGGGGGACAGGGACATGGCTGGGGACATGGGGAGGGGGGGACTGCTGGTGGAACCAGGCACAGGCACCCCGCTGCCCCGGCACGGCACCAACACGGGTTTTCTCCCAACAGCCTGGTCACCAAGAAGAATAAGGAGCTGTGTGCGGACCCCCGGGAGCCCTGGGTGCAGGCGCGGCTGAAGGACTTCCAGACCCCGAAGAACTGACCTGTCCCTGCTGCCACCCACCATGTCCCCGGTGCTGCCCCCAGAGGGCTTGTCTTCCAGCCCCAGGCACGCCAGAGAGTACTTGAACTGCAGCCTTCTTCAACAGAAAATTTATTCTATTTAACTTATTTCAGTTAAAGTAAATATTTTTTGTTAATAAAAAGGAAACTTGAAGAATGAACTTCTAGGATGGATTTCTTTATGTGGTCTAGCGAGGCAGTTGGGTGTCGAGATGACCTCCTCTTGCTAGGCCGAAGGACCTGCGCCGGAGGGGCCGGAGTCCTGGCCGGCTGCAGCGAGGGGCACTGCAAGGGGCAGGGAGGTGATGAGCACAACCAGCCCAAGCCATACTCCCTCCCTCCCTCCCCAGCCCACAGCCCCACGCCTGTCTGCAGGTCCCAGTGGGCTGTGGTGGCCACTTGGCCCCGGGGACCCTGTCCCTCTGGGTGCACCACTCAGCGGTGCGCGTGTCACTGCAGTCGCTGCACTGCCAGGACCTGGCATCTGCTCCCAGGCCCGAGCAGCGCTGACGGGTGCCCTGGGAAGCACAGGAGCTGCAGAGTAGAAGTCTCCTGGGCCTACGGGGACCAGTGTCACCGACACCCCGTCTCCTCTGCCTCCTGCCCTCCTGCCGGGCAGAGGCACTGCTCAGCATCACAGGAGCCGTGCTGTTCCTACAGGTCTTCAAAGTAGCCGTCCAACTCCCAGGCAGCGTCCCTGTGGGAGCAGAGGAGAGCTCAGGCCTGGGCTCCTGGGGACACCCTGCCGCAATGCGGGGAGGCAAGAGGGGGTGGTCCCGAGCCTCACGGAGCGGGAGGGAGACAGGGGGGACAGGGGGGATGGCACCGACCTGTCGGGGATTTTGATGCCCAGTCGAAACATCTCCTTCTGAAATGTGCCCATGTCCTGGCACAGTGGGCATCTGAAGTGATGGAGGGCAGCAGCCAGCGCCTGGCCCTGGGGCAGAGATGGCATCAGCATCAGTGGCAGTGGGCTCCCATGTGCTCCCCCAGAGCTGGGTGCCGGGGTGATGACAGGGGTGCTCGTTTCAAGGGCCTGGGGGTGATGCCACCCACCTGGATGCATCGGCGGTGGAAGCAGGCGCTGGTGCAAACAGGACACATCAGGGTGTCATAGCAGGGCCGCTCTGCCACCGCCTCCAGGCAGATGGGGCAGTTCTGGCCCTGCTGCAGCGCCCGCACCCGCTGTACTGGCCGATGCTTCCAGCAGAAGGACCTGCGTGACGGAGGTGACAGTTTGGCGCCAGCTCTCCTCCAGCCCAGCCCCGTCCCCACTGCTGTGGGGCAGCTACACTCACTTGAACTCCCCAAAGAACTGGGAGATGCAGCCCCGCTCCATCCCGCAGGGGAAGTGGAAGGTTCGGCGGCAGCGCCGGCGCCCGCAGGTGACCGATGCGCCTGGCAGCCGGCAGATGCAGCACCTCTGGGGGAGGAATGGAGGTGGACGGTGTTAGTGCCGCGTGCCCCGGGGAGCCCAGTTTCCCCTCGACCAGCACAGCCCCACCACGTTCTGGTGTGCCTCCTGGCCGGTGACATTGGGCCACGGCCAAATCCACCGACTCCCTCCACATCCCCAATTTCCATAGAAATGGTCCTTTTGGGATGGATGGGGATCTGGGGGTTACTTGCTGATGGCTTCCAGAGCATCCCTGGGGGGTTACTGGGCTGTGCATTGCAGGACAGAGGCATGGGGACCACAGTGGGGACACACGTTCCCCTCCCTGGCCTCACCTTCTGTGCCACCCGCTCCAGCTCCTGCCGGATGTCAGGGAAGAGGAAGCCATAGAAACCCTCTTCATCGGCTCCTCTCTGCATGAGACCGCTGGCGTGGTACTGCAAGGGAGGAGAAGAGGGCACATGGCAGGGGCTGTCAGGGGTGCAGGGCTGGGAACTGCAGCTGCCGGGGACCGGTGTAGGAAGCAAGGGACTCACCAGGCAGTTTTCATGAACGTAGAGCCCGTCCTGCTGGCACAGCTCTCCAACTATCTCTGTTTCAACATCTGCCCGCCGGCACAGCCCACACGCTGCTGGGGGACAGCCCCAGCGTCACCCCCAGCACCGTGCTGCCAGGGTGCCCGTGGGGGTAACGGCAGGAGCGGAATGGGGGAGAGGCCGGGGCAACTCCCCACAGCACAGGGGCCTTGTCTTGCGTGGCCGGGCACCAGCCAAAATCCCCTCTGGCGGGTGCCCGTGGGGATGCTCATCACTCACTTTGCTCTTTGGGGTCTTGGCGCATCCGTTTTGGCTGCGGAGGTGCACCGGAGAGTCCTGCCTCCTCATCTTGGAGCCCGGCAGGATCCTGGGCAGGGGGTGACTGGGGGCGACTTCGTCGTCGTGCTCTCCTCTCCATCACGGCTCTTGACGAGACGGAAGGGGTCGATGGACGTGGAGACGTTGGTGTGGTTAAAGACCACCCAGATGCTCCAGCGCCTCTGGCAAACACACTGCCACGCTGGGGGCAGTAGTGCAGGGGCATTTATACGGCCTGGGGGCTTTGTGACATGGCACCGCACACACGCGTGTGTCATAAACGGGGTCCCACAGGTGCCCGGCAACGCCCGGTGCTGCAGCAGGACCAGACCAGCTGCCTCATCTGCCTGGGGGCGGTGGTAGAGTGGCCCTGCTACGACACCCTGGTGTTGGGCTCTGCACAGCAGCGGGGCTGGCACCCCGCAGCCCATGGGGATTTGGTGGCAGTTGCTCCCTTTGCTCCCCCAGGCCCTGGAGACTTCTACTCTGCAGCTCCAGTGGCTCCCAGTGCTCAGGTGTGGGAGCAGATGCCGAGTCCTGGCAGTGCAGTGCCATCGCCCCCTCCACGCTACTGTCTGGCCCTCCGTGGGTTTAATAAAAGACCTCGTGCTGACCTGCAGCTGGAGTGAGAGGATGGAAAGTTGCTGGGAGAGAGCAGGGCTCACACCAGGGCTGGGCATCCCCGTGGGGGACCCAGGAATAGTCCGGCAGCACCTGGGAGGGCAAAGGGCCAAGCTTGGTGCCCCCACCTCCCCCCCAAGATGAAGCAGCCCCTGCGCGGGTGTGAGGTTTAAGGGTGCCCTGGGCAGATGCCCCCCGACCCCACGTGGGATATGGATGGAGACAGGGATAACGGCAGGTGCAGGCTGGCAATGGGAGAAAGGTTGGCTTTGGGGGCCTTGGGGCTTGGCTTGGTGTCTTCCCAGATAGATCAAGGGCTTTTCCAGGGATGGCTGCAGAAGGAGAGGTGTCATGGAAGTTTGGGCTGCCTGAGTTTCTGTCTCTCTTCTCGTTGGCTGAGAAGTTGGAGTTGGAGCTCACATTCTTCCCGACCGCCCGACCTCTTACAGGTGTAGTTCGCCCCTTTTTCCAAGAGAAGGCACACACACCCTACTCTACAAAATCATTTTCCTAAACACGCCTTGGATTAGGTGATTACGCTACACATTATTTCACAGTCTTTGCTACCATCTCCTCGGCAGATTTGCTGTCCAAGACGGGTTTCTTTGGCCCAATTGACACTCCCCTCCCCTCTGGGTTCCCGTGACGAAGGCCGTGTTCCAGGCTGTTTCTCTTCGCCCAGATAACGCTCTGCCAACGAGGATCCCTTGACAGACCAAGGGCATTTCTGGGGATTAATCGGATACAATTTATTAGACTCTACTACCACGAAGACTCCTGTGTTAGTACTGACACGCTAACAAGACTATATTAATTAGCTGAAGCAAAACTTAGCTCATGTCCCACAGCTTAAGGTACAGAATAACGCTTGTGTTATTAGACATGTAGATGACATCCTAATGATTCCACTGAACCTATACTCTCAAAACTCTGATGGGCCGGCAGTGAAGTCAGTCCTGGAGGCAATCTCTGGTTCGATCGGGCTGCGCTACCGGCCCGGCTGTCTTTCAGTCTCCTGAGGAATGCCCAACATGGCCGCCATTTGTAGCATGTGAAGGCACGGCCCTCCTCGGTGATGCAGCCAGAGCCGTTTCTTCTAACAAACAGGCAGCTTATCTAGTCCTAATGTATCTTCTATGCCGAATGACCCGATCCTGCAGCCCCCAAGTGCCAGGGTGCCCGTGGGGGTAACGGCAGGAGCGGAATGGGGGGAGAGGCCGGGACACCTTCCCTCAACACAGGGAGCACGCGGAGAGCGAGAGCGGCAGCGGTGAGCGCTGCGCCTTGAAATGGGATCGCGATGGGGCTGGTGAGGGGGCTTCCCGGAGCCGGAGGAGCCGAGGAAGAGCGGAGAGACCCGAAGCGAGTCGGGAATCTCGCGAGGGAGCCGAGAGGGGGACGTCCCAGGGGGCGGGCCGGGCGAGCCGCGGCACGTTTAGAAGCGGCCAGAGACACCCTGTCAGCGCGCGCGCGCGAGGGGTCGGGGTGTGGTCTCGTGCGCGGGAGTGGGAGTGGGAGTGGGAGTGGGAGTGGGAGTGGGAGTGGGAGTGGGACTGGGACTGGGACTGGGACTGGGACTGGGAGGGGGAAGGGGAAGGGGAAGGGGAAGGGGAAGGGTCCGTTCGGGTTCAAGAGAGGAAATGGTGGCAGTGTCCCCAGCATCTGACAGATGCACCCCTGTTGTCACCTCATCACCCAGCTCCAGGGGAAGAAGGGGACCCCACTGCCACTGATGCTGATGCCAGCTCTGCCCCAGGGCCAGGTGCTGCCTATTGCATGGCAACGATTCCGCTGCCCACGGTGCCAGGACACGGGCAAGTTCCGGTATGAGGTGTTTCTTTTGGGCATATAAATCCCTGACAGGTAGCAGCCTCTGCCCGGCAGGAGGGCAGGAGGCAGAGGAGATGGGGTGAGTGTCGGTGACACTGGTCCCCGTAGCCCCAGGGAGCAGACGATGCCTTCCTCTCCCCCTTGGGGCAGGGATGGAGGTGCCCTGGGGTGCCAAGCAGGCAACTGGCGCAGGGTGCGTGTGGGCAGCTCAGCCCCAGCTGCCGGGGGGGTGCAGCAGGGTGGAGGTGGGCTCTGCACAGCACCGGGGCTGGCACCCCACAGCTTGGGGGAATTTGGTGGCAGTCGCTCCCTTTGCTCCCCCAGGCCCTGGAGACTTCTACTCTGCAGCTCCTGTGCTTCCCAGGGCACCCGTCAGCGCTGCTCGGGCCTGGGAGCAGATGCCAGGTCCTGGCAGTGCAGCGACTGCAGTGACACGCGCACCGCTGAGTGGTGCACCCAGAGGGACAGGGTCCCCGGGGCCAAGTGGCCACCACAGCCCACTGGGACCTGCAGACAGGCGTGGGGCTGTGGGCTGGGGAGGGAGGGAGGGAGTATGGCTTGGGCTGGTTGTGCTCATCACCTCCCTGCCCCTTGCAGTGCCCCTCGCTGCAGCCGGCCAGGACTCCGGCCCCTCCGGCGCAGGTCCTTCAGCCTAGCAAGAGGAGGTCATCTCGACACCCAACTGCCTCGCTAGACCACATAAAGAAATCCATCCTAGAAGTTCATTCTTCAAGTTTCCTTTTTATTAACAAAAAATATTTACTTTAACTGAAATAAGTTAAATAGAATAAATTTTCTGTTGAAGAAGGCTGCAGTTCAAGTACTCTCTGGCGTGCCTGGGGCTGGAAGACAAGCCCTCTGGGGGCAGCACCGGGGACATGGTGGGTGGCAGCAGGGACAGGTCAGTTCTTCGGGGTCTGGAAGTCCTTCAGCCGCGCCTGCACCCAGGGCTCCCGGGGGTCCGCACACAGCTCCTTATTCTTCTTGGTGACCAGGCTGTTGGGAGAAAACCCGTGTTGGTGCCGTGCCAGGGCAGCGGGATGCCTGTGCCTGGTTCCACCAGCAGTACCCCCCTCCCCATGTCCCCAGCCATGTCCCTGTCCTCCTCCCAGCCACCCTCAAGGACCTCCCCCAACCATCCCACCCCGGGCACTCACATCACTCCCGGCTGGCTGCAGCTGCTGCTGGTGATGTAGACAGAGGTGATGAGGGCCCGTGGGACGGGCCGTTTTTGGTAGCTGAAGCAGCACTTGGTCGGGACACCATCTGTGAGGGCAGAGAGACAGACAGAGAGCCCTGGTCACAGGGCACAGCACAGGCTCTGGCCCCATCGGCACCTGGGCTTGCCCAGGGCTTTGCCATCTCCCATCCCCAGCCTTGGGTCATATTCCATGCTGGTGGCCCCCAAAGACTGGCCTGAGACCCAAGCCCGAGTCCCAGCGTTGGCGGTATCTCCTGCTGCCAGCCCTCCCCACAGCCCCAGGCTCCCTGGTGATGGGGATGGGACTCTCTGGATGTCACACCCAGCCCCGGGGGGACACAGCGGTGCCGGACTCACCAAGATGAGCCTGGGACGGGGAGCAGGTGGCCACGAGGAGGACAGTGACCAGGGTGGCTGCGAGGACCTTCATGCTGCTGCGGGGGCCTGGGATGCGCAAGCGGAGCTGGAGCTGTGGGGGCTGCAGGGCTCTCCTCTGCACCATGCTCGGCCCCTCTGGCCGTGCCCTCCTTTTATCCCCGGCCACTGGGCGGGCACGGGGTTTCAAGGAAAGAAAAGGAGAGCATCATACCGGGGAAATGATGTCAGGATCGCCCAGATTTGCTGAGCTGGAGCAGGCAAGGAAACCACAGAAGGGGAAGTGCAGCCACACGGCTGCCATTTTCAGACTCCATTCACGTGCCCGGTGGGGATCGGACTGGGCTGTGCCGGCGGGCAGATGTTGAAACAGAGATAGTTGGAGAGCTGTGCCAGCAGGACGGGCTCTACGTTCATGAAAACTGCCTGGTGAGTCCCTTGCTTCCTACACCGGTCCCCGGCAGCTGCAGTTCCCAGCCCTGCACCCCTGACAGCCCCTGCCATGTGCCCTCTTCTCCTCCCTTGCAGTACCACGCCAGCGGTCTCATGCAGAGAGGAGCCGATGAAGAGGGTTTCTATGGCTTCCTCTTCCCTGACATCCGGCAGGAGCTGGAGCGGGTGGCACAGAAGGTGAGGCCAGGGAGGGGAACGTGTGTCCCCACTGTGGTCCCCATGCCTCTGTCCTGCAATGCACAGCCCAGTAACCCCCCAGGGATGCTCTGGAAGCCATCAGCAAGTAACCCCCAGATCCCCATCCATCCCAAAAGGACCATTTCTATGGAAATTGGGGATGTGGAGGGAGTCGGTGGATTTGGCCGTGGCCCAATGTCACCGGCCAGGAGGCACACCAGAACGTGGTGGGGCTGTGCTGGTCGAGGGGAAACTGGGCTCCCCGGGGCACGCGGCACTAACACCGTCCACCTCCATTCCTCCCCCAGAGGTGCTGCATCTGCCGGCTGCCAGGCGCATCGGTCACCTGCGGGCGCCGGCGCTGCCGCCGAACCTTCCACTTCCCCTGCGGGATGGAGCGGGGCTGCATCTCCCAGTTCTTTGGGGAGTTCAAGTGAGTGTAGCTGCCCCACAGCAGTGGGGACGGGGCTGGGCTGGAGGAGAGCTGGCGCCAAACTGTCACCTCCGTCACGCAGGTCCTTCTGCTGGAAGCATCGGCCAGTACAGCGGGTGCGGGCGCTGCAGCAGGGCCAGAACTGCCCCATCTGCCTGGAGGCGGTGGCAGAGCGGCCCTGCTATGACACCCTGATGTGTCCTGTTTGCACCAGCGCCTGCTTCCACCGCCGATGCATCCAGGTGGGTGGCATCACCCCCAGGCCCTTGAAACGAGCACCCCTGTCATCACCCCGGCACCCAGCTCTGGGGGAGCACATGGGAGCCCACTGCCACTGATGCTGATGCCATCTCTGCCCCAGGGCCAGGCGCTGGCTGCTGCCCTCCATCACTTCAGATGCCCACTGTGCCAGGACATGGGCACATTTCAGAAGGAGATGTTTCGACTGGGCATCAAAATCCCCGACAGGTCGGTGCCATCCCCCCTGTCCCCCCTGTCTCCCTCCCGCTCCGTGAGGCTCGGGACCACCCCCTCTTGCCTCCCCGCATTGCGGCAGGGTGTCCCCAGGAGCCCAGGCCTGAGCTCTCCTCTGCTCCCACAGGGACGCTGCCTGGGAGTTGGACGGCTACTTTGAAGACCTGTAGGAACAGCACGGCTCCTGTGATGCTGAGCAGTGCCTCTGCCCGGCAGGAGGGCAGGAGGCAGAGGAGACGGGGTGTCGGTGACACTGGTCCCCGTAGGCCCAGGAGACTTCTACTCTGCAGCTCCTGTGCTTCCCAGGGCACCCGTCAGCGCTGCTCGGGCCTGGGAGCAGATGCCAGGTCCTGGCAGTGCAGCGACTGCAGTGACACGCGCACCGCTGAGTGGTGCACCCAGAGGGACAGGGTCCCCGGGGCCAAGTGGCCACCACAGCCCACTGGGACCTGCAGACAGGCGTGGGGCTGTGGGCTGGGGAGGGAGGGAGGGAGTATGGCTTGGGCTGGTTGTGCTCATCACCTCCCTGCCCCTTGCAGTGCCCCTCGCTGCAGCCGGCCAGGACTCCGGCCCCTCCGGCGCAGGTCCTTCAGCCTAGCAAGAGGAGGTCATCTCGACACCCAACTGCCTCGCTAGACCACATAAAGAAATCCATCCTAGAAGTTCATTCTTCAAGTTTCCTTTTTATTAACAAAAAATATTTACTTTAACTGAAATAAGTTAAATAGAATAAATTTTCTGTTGAAGAAGGCTGCAGTTCAAGTACTCTCTGGCGTGCCTGGGGCTGGAAGACAAGCCCTCTGGGGGCAGCACCGGGGACATGGTGGGTGGCAGCAGGGACAGGTCAGTTCTTCGGGGTCTGGAAGTCCTTCAGCCGCGCCTGCACCCAGGGCTCCCGGGGGTCCGCACACAGCTCCTTATTCTTCTTGGTGACCAGGCTGTTGGGAGAAAACCCGTGTTGGTGCCGTGCCAGGGCAGCGGGATGCCTGTGCCTGGTTCCACCAGCAGTACCCCCCTCCCCATGTCCCCAGCCATGTCCCTGTCCTCCTCCCAGCCACCCTCAAGGACCTCCCCCAACCATCCCACCCCGGGCACTCACATCACTCCCGGCTGGCTGCAGCTGCTGCTGGTGAAGTAGGCAGAGGTGATGAGGGCCCGTGGGACGGGCCGTTTTTGGTAGCTGAAGCAGCACTTGGTCGGGACACCATCTGTGAGGGCAGAGAGACAGACAGAGAGCCCTGGTGAGACCCCAGGGCACAGCACAGGCTCTGGCCCCATCGGCACCTGGGCTTGCCCAGGGCTTTGCCATCTCCCATCCCCAGCCTTGGGTCATATTCCATGCTGGTGGCCCCCAAAGACTGGCCTGAGACCCAAGCCCGAGTCCCAGCGTTGGCGGTATCTCCTGCTGCCAGCCCTCCCCACAGCCCCAGGCTCCCTGGTGATGGGGATGGGACTCTCTGGATGTCACACCCAGCCCCGGGGGGACACAGCGGTGCCGGACTCACCAAGATGAGCCTGGGACGGGGAGCAGGTGGCCACGAGGAGGACAGTGACCAGGGTGGCTGCGAGGACCTTCATGCTGCTGCGGGGGCCTGGGATGCGCAAGCGGAGCTGGAGCTGTGGGGGCTGCAGGGCTCTCCTCTGCACCATGCTCGGCCCCTCTGGCCGTGCCCTCCTTTTATCCCCGGCCACTGGGCGGGCGCGGGGTTTCAAGGAAAGAAAAGGAGAGCATCATATCGAGGAAATGATGTCAGGATCGCCCAGATTTGCTGAGCTGGAGCAGGCAAGGAAACCGCAGAAGGGGAAGTGCAGCCACGCGGCTGCCACTTTCAGATTCCATTCGCGTGCCCGGTGGGGATCGGACATAGCCCGAACCCCCACGACACCGACCCTGCCGCTGCTGGGAGGACCCCACCAGCCATGAAGCAGGCTGTGGTACAAAGCTCCGTCGCCAGAGTCGTGAGGGAAATCCCAAGCTGGCAGCCATGAAGCAACACCAGCAAGAAGCTCCAGGCTGTGATTCCCTTTGCAACAGGAGGGAATCTAGGCAGCGATTCCCACTGCCCTCCAACCACCCCATTCATTGCAGCCTCTTGACAATCAGGTTGTTGCAACTACTGTTTGCCCACTTCTTCCCAAGTAGGACAATTTCATACAATTTAAGTTCTCTCTACTGGCTTAGCCCCAAAAAAGCAAACAAATCTATGTCAGGAGACCATGCATTAAGAGTAGAATCTGGAGGGAGGAGAGGATGCTGCTGGTACCCACCAAGATCAGCTCATTGCAGGCTTGCAGATGAAGCCCTGAGGAGATCATAGCACGACTGAAAAAGGGCAGCATTTGCAAGCCCAGAAGGTAATTCCCAAATGCCGGTGCACACCCAGAAAGAAAGAGCTGCCAAACTTGTTGCTTTCTCCTTATTTTCTCTTTTTCTGGCCTTGCCATCATGCTGCCCCATGGTACCACAAAAGGTTTGGTGCCCAGCTCCCAGCTGTCACACCAACCCCTCGCCTCTCACTGCTGGCCTCCTGACCCTTGGCATGACTAATTCTCACCACCCTGATTCAAGGGGAAAGTCTAACTCACCAAGAAGCTGAGCAATGGCTGCATCCATCCTCCCATCCCCACCGCACGGCAGGAGTGATGCTCCCCATTCACACGCAAGGATAAACCTCTCAGTGGCTGCAATGGCCATTTGCCCAGAAAATCTCTTCCTGCCAGCAGGTGCCTTGCTTGAAGGATGCATCCTTCCAAGCTAGCACTTGTCTAGGATTGGGGAAATAGGTTGTGATTGTTTCTTTTAGAAAAGATGGCATGGAGGTGAGAATGGGTGAATGCATGGAAATCATCTCACTGGAGATGCTCAGGAGGAGCTGGTCTGGCCTCAAGGCAGTGGTATGAACAGAAACAACCTCTCCAGCTCCCTTCTCCAACTGCCTTTATCATAGGACCATAGAATGGTTAGAGTTGGAAGGGACCTTAAAGATCACAGAGTTCCAACCCCCTGCCCTGGGCAGGGACACCTCCCACCGGACCAGGTTGCTCAAAGCCCTGTCCAACCTGGCCTTGAACCCCTCCAGGGATGGGGCAGCCACAGCTTCTCTGGGCAACCTGTTCCAGTGTCTCACCACCACAGTAAAGAATTTCTTCCTAATATCTAATCTAAATCCCCCCTCTTTCAGTTTAAAACTGTTAGCTGTCATCCTATGGCTCCAATCCCTGATCAAGAGTCCCTCCCCATCTCACCTGTAGGTGCCTTCAGGTACTGGAAGGCCATTATAAGGTCTCTCTGGAGCCCTCTCTTCTCCAGGCTGAACAACCCCAGCTCTCTCAGCCTGTCTTCATAGGAGAGGCGCTCCAGCCCTCTGAGCATCTTCGTGGATGCTCAGAGGGCTGAGACCCTTCCTCCACTGGACCCTTTGTTTCTGCTTAAGCCGCTCTGTGCCTGGGGCTACAAATGAATAAATCCTTTGTAACTAATAGCAACCAGGATCTTCACCTGGGGCATGTGAGGAGGGCTTGGAGGAGAGGTAGTACCTGCTGTAAATGCTCCTGTTTGTCAAATGTCACTGGACACACAAAAGCAGAGGGAAAAGCTGACTTCCTCAGGGGACTGAAGATCTGCATGAGCTTTTCTGTTAATGCCATTGCAGTCACTAAGAGGTTTCTATTAACCTCAAAGTGTCCTCTGCATGCAGAGCAATCCCAATTTCAGGGGTCAGCCAGCAGAAGCCTTTTGTGTTTTTATGAACCTCTCAGCCTGTAAATCCACATGTCTCCCAGAAAGACCTGCCCCAGACCTCTGCCTTCCAACCACCCCATTCTGGCACCTCTCCTGCCCTCACCAGAGCCAGCTTTGCTTTGTTTAACAAGGAGAAATGTGAAGGAGGACATATGCATGCAACAGGCTGTTATAATGAAGACAACCAGCAATTGCTCTCTGGGTTGGCTGTAGGAAGAAGACACTGAGCTCCCCAAACCCTGAGATACTTCTGGAGAGAGCAGCCCCGAGCCAGGGTTGAGCTGGGCTTGGGCAGGAGAACCGAGTCATGGGATGAGCAATGGCAGTGGGCAATGCTGGTGTGGTGGGAGCCCCTTTGCCTGGCCAAGCAGGGAGAAATGGGGTGGGATAGGCAAGAGAGTAGCAATGGGAAGCAGCAAATGCCAGGGTGGTGGTAAGGAATATCCCACACCCAGCAAATATTAGAAACTGAGGTCATCACAATGACAAGCAGGAGCGTGATGATCTGTGGGCATTGGCCTTAGCAGTTAACCAGAGGAAAGCTTGTCATCCGGTAGGAACCACAGAAAATCTCACAATTGCAAAGATAATTTCTGATGGAAAAGGTGAAAATATTTCCTCTTTGCTGCACTAGTTGGTCAAGCTTTCAGTTCTCCATTTAGAGGAGAGCCGGATGGGACTTCTTAGTGGATGCTGATGAAATACTTTCCATTCTGACTGGAACTGAGGATATTTCAATGAATTGCACAAAACTGCAGCTCAGCAAAAGTAGATAGTTTGTGTCTAAGGAATTAAATATAAGGAACTGATGTAAAGGGAGAGTGAAGAAATGACTATGGTTTTATTTCTCCTTCCATGGAAGCCCTCTGTAAGCAGATGACTTCCTAATCCACCTGAGAAACACAAGAGAAATTCAAGGGTAGGGATGGGGGGAAGGAAGAACCCGGCTTTACAAATGCAAATTCGAAAAACAAAAGAAAGTAAAAACCCATTAGTTAGGAAGGGCTTGTCTCTGCAAAAACAACACAAGAGGTTATGGCCAAGATCTCAACAGAATCAAAGTTTAGTGCACACAGGTGAGAAAAGGGAGAATAAATAAGAGAAAAAAGAGAACAAATAAGTAAGGAAGACGTAGATAAGGCAGGTATGGTCAAGCAAAAAGGCCCCAAAGATTCCCCTAAGATCCTCCTGAGCCAGGCTGTGGCCATGGCTGGTGATTAGCAGGACAAACTCAGAGTAGGAGAGGTAGCAGAAAGGCAGTGATGAGCAAACATGATACTAGTCTTGCCTTTGGCACTACCTTGCATGTGTCTCCTCAAGAAAACAAGGGAATTCAAGTGTAAAAAACACATTACAGCCAGGGGCTGCAAGCACAGTTGAAGAGCAGAGGGGCCATCATACTGATCCGAGGGCAGGCACTTGGCAAGGCAGAGGGGGACAATTCAAGGAACAGTGACATGCAAAGAGCTGCCAGAAACTGCAGGGACAGCGTGCAGTCAGAGCAGCCCCCCCAGCTTTGCTCAGTGCTGGGGTGACAGCTGCTGGTGAGGAACTTGCCTCTTAGGGCCTCCCTTTTCAAGAAATAGTGATAGGAGAAGAGCAAGAAAAGAGCAGCAAGCCCCACGTCCGGATGGGGCAGCCAGCCAATGTCTCAGGATTCATTTAGACTAGAAAAGAAGACGAGGGATGATCTCTGGCAGAGAGGACAGCATTGCTTCTGGTCCCCAAGCCTGCTGAGGAAAGCTGAGAGACAACTGCCTCGTACCACCCGGCTTTGGGAAAGCCTCCCCAGCTCTGCAGGGAGTTTACCCCGAGGTACAAACCCCTGCCAGCCCGCAGGAGCAGGCTGTGTTGCTGCCCCTGAGTCGGGGCCGAGGGATGTTCTCTGCACCCCTTCCAGGTGCACGTGGAGGTGGTTTGCAGCGCCCAAGGGATCCCGGCTGCCCTTCTGCCTTTACTATGCACCAGCATAAGACAGAAGGAAAACCGCAGGCAAAAAGAAATCAAAGAAACTGCCAATGCCACGATCTCATGCAAGTGTAGAGAAAACCACACGGCGTTACGAAACATCCGTCTGGGAAGTGACACTCATCATTGATAAAAATTATGCAAAGGGGTCCCGTGGCTAGAGGTTACAAGGAAAACACAGATCAGCTACCAGTCTCGCCCCGCGCTGAGCTGTCACTGACCCTTGCATATATTGTTTTATGAGAATAACTCAGCATTCAAAGTGGAATTCCTAAACCAGACTGTGATAAATGATTTTTTCCTCAAACAGGATTCCAATTAGAGTTTACAATTTATTAAATGAGTAAAGACAAGCAAACAGCGCTGGGTGCACCGGGAGTCTCCGCTCAACCAAGGCACACACGTGCCAAGTCCCGTTTTGGGGTTTATATCGCTTCTCCTAATACATATTCATATAAAGGTTGGCCTATGCTAATGATAGGCGTGTCTTCTTTGGCGCATGCCCTCCTCACCTTCTGGAATCTTCTATGAGTTTTCCTTCGCTCGCCCCCAGGATGACCCCCAACTCCAGGCGTGCGCCCCACAGACCCCTCCCGCTCAGCACCAGTAACAAAAAAATGGTTTCCTTAGGGGTTCTTACAAGAAACAGAAACTACATACATACAATCCCACTTCTCCCAAGCCCATGGTCATACAAGGACAAACAGAACAGTTAAAGATATTAACACGAATCAGATGAACACATTTCACACAGACCCCACTGCTACCCTCTTAATTCAAATTCCCAAATGTCCCTTCCCCCTCAGAGGACCCCGTGCCGTGCCCTGCGCAAAGACCCACAACCCAGGACAGGGATTTTTCTATGGTCCTGGATCAAAGACAGACCTCTTCTCCCCCCGGCTTGAGTGACTTCTATGCTAGACTGGAAG